TTTTTTTCCCCCCTCCTTCCTCCCTTCCGCCCCCTCCTCCCTTCTATGAGAAGAAAACTTGGTTGGATTTAATATATTTCTTTGGGATCGGAAGGAACTCCTGCCTGCTGGATCTGGTTTAGACGCCCGATAGACAAGGTAAATTAAATGGAGAAGGTTTGGGAGGTAGCAGCAACAACAACAACAGAAAGAGCCTTCCTCTGTTGAAGGGGGAGAGGAGAAAGGAAGGAGTTCCTGTTTCATTTTGATATCTTGTTTTTGGCCTTTATTTTCTGATCGGCTTGTGTTCTCTGCCTTTCATAGTTTGACTGCCCTTTGTGTTGTCCACCCTCCCTCCCCCGCTAAAATGCTGTTTGTATGGACGTAGGCGCTGTTTTCATGGAGGTTGAGGAAACAATCTGGGGAGCCCGAAAGTTTTTAAGCTCCTCGGACACAGAAGTTTCTTTGTTCAGTGGAAGAAGGTACTGAACTGAAACTGCCCGGCTCTGTAACTGTGCTGCTTCAGCTCCTTCCCTTTGAAAACAATTGCTAACCCTGCAAGTATAATTATCAGGAAATAAGAAGTCCTGAAGGAGATAATCTCTTTTATTTAATCGAAAGATCTTGACGTTTGGAGCTCCCTATATCTGCTATTTCTTGTTTGTCTTTAACCTTGTCTTCTGGAATACCCGAAGTGTGTAGCTCGCCTTCTTAAAAGTAACTGTTAAATTTCTTTTTTAAAGATTTGTCCTCGTATTCCCCTGTAAATACTGTCGCAGTTTTTTTCCCTCGATTATTGCTGCCACCTCTCTTTCTCCCCTCTGCCTCCTTTCTCAAGATGACGAGTTAGGCTGCCTATTTTTCAACTTGTATAGGAGAGGTCTGCATTGCATTTTGATCCTTGCACGAGTTCATCTCGAGAACCTCCGTTTAAAAAAAAAAAAAAGAAAAGAAAAAACCCAATGCAACTTGTCTGATTTCTTAGAAGTGCCGTGGAACCTCTGGGATAACATAGCCTTGTTTGGTTTGGGTGACCACTTTCTCCTTTTTTTTTTTTTTTTTTCTTGAAAAGACTCCTGTCTGAAGCTGTTGATAGTAAACTAAACGTGTAGTTCTGGTGCAAGGTTTTTGTAGTGCTGGTGATTACTGCTTGTTATGTCAAATAGTTGCATTTAGTGAAAGCAATGTTGCTCACCACAGATTGATTTCATATGCCTCCAAGAGGTAATTATTGGTTAGTTTCTTCATGGAGACATGGAATTGCTTGTCCTGTGAATGTTTAAAATGAACTATAAGCCATAGCTCTGTACTAGCTTATTTTTCTAAATCATTATTCTTGTTTGACAAACTCAAAAGCAGTGCCTTTGTCAGACAGGATGCACGTTCTTCCGTCTCTCAGGTATCTGAGATGGATGTGTTGATATTTATGAGAACCGGACAAAGTAACTCTTATGCAAACACTTTAAGACTATGATATTTGTAGTTCTTCAACAGCATCAGTGTAGTCTAGTGTATGAGAAAACATTATTAATTCCACTCAGGCTGTTTCATTAAATGATACAGTGCAAGGAAAAATGTTAAACTTTAACTGACCTAAAGTGGCTTCTGTTGCTGATAACAAGTGATTTGGTTTGCAACTTACAAATTTACCTTTCTAGGCAGCAGTAAAGGTTATTCTTAGGTGACTGAAAGGACTGAGCAAAATAAATGGTAGTGAACTTCAGTTTCCTTATATGGCTGATGCTTGGCAGAAAAGCAGTGAAGTCTAAATAGAGTAATCCCTTTACAAAGAACGATCACTTTCCAAGGCAGTGTTACAGCCCCAATAATGACTTGAGATTCTATGAGAGGGTGTGTGTGGGGGGGAACAACGACTTTTAGCAATGCATGACAAATTCAGTTGTAAACCCTATGTTCTTAATGGATGCATTTTTGTTTCTTTTCAGACCTTTTGTGTTTCTCATGATGCACTTGATATTTTTTCAATACCATGCAGAAGAATAGATCCTTGTAGTGGAGGCACAACTTCTTACACTAGTGTTTTGTCACCATGGTAGCTATGGATAAGTCCCTTTTTAATGATGAAAATGTAATTCACTACTGCTCACAGTTAATGGTATCATAGAATGTCGGTCACATCATTAACATAGTTTAGTAGTAATAAAGGACTGTGTTTCTTCTCAAGACCAACTGTGTCTCGGCTAAGAATTAGATTGACATTGATACTCATTTTATGAATAAAATGATTTAGGTATACCCATGGCAGCTCACGTTGTTTGAAACAGCACTTTCATAGGTATGTGTTGATGGCTTGGGGGAACAGTCTTCCTACCTGGCTGTTCCTTACTTGTTAATTAAATTTAAATTCACGTAAACGTTGGTAACTTGAGGTATGCTTACGATCAAAGAGCTAGAAGTTACATGTATGGCATGCTATCATGAAGACCATAGGATATTGTTTCAACAATTTTAGTGAAAATATGAACAGACTTGCCTTATAAATGGGTGAGTTAATAATGTGTAGTATAAATGTAGTGCACTGTAAAAATACCCATTTGCACATCGTGTTCATACAGAATTGATTGGGGGGCTCTGTGGAGAAAGCATTACTCATTGAGAATTGCCTAGTGTCTTAAGCTGTGGTGGCATAATAAAACAAGGTTATGATTTATCTCAAGTGGAATTCATTCAGAGTCTGTACCCTTAGGTGTAAAGAACAATACTTGAAACATCTAAATTAAGGGAAGGGATCATGCATATATATGTGTGTGTATATATGTGTGTATAAAATCATACATGTGATAAATATGTATATTGAAGTTACCACGTTAGCAGCAGGTTCTAGAAATAGAAGGGGATGGGAGCAGAATTCCTCAACTGAGCTTTCCCGTAGGGGTGTAATGAATTATTGGCTGACTGCTTTGGTTTTTTTTTTTTTTTGGTGTCCTTCCTGCTCCCAAACAAAAAGGAAAATCTTCCAGGGAAAATCTTATATAAAGATCAAGTGTCTAGTATTTCTTCTTAACAGTAGATTCTCCCTATGGCATAACTTGATTCACTAAAGGAGCATCTAACATTTACTCCACATAGTGAAATTACAAACCTAAACTTTTCCAAGTGTACCTAGTTGACTTGAAGAAAAAGCTGCTCCTACTGATAGCAAAATAGTAGATTATACCCCTGTGTGAGCCTGCAAATGTTGATTATGACAGCTGAGGTAGGTAGTTAAACGTGAACTATCTGCAAAATAAAGGTTTAGATATATCACTTTTTTCTTTTGCTTTTGAGTCAGCTTTTGAGTAAGTAAAGCAACTTGTCAGATAACTCCACTTTTCACGTCAGCATGAAAACATTGAGCATGAGTAACACTTTTCACTTTCCTTACTAAAAAGTCTGTAAATTACTATCTATGTTTTTAGTTTTAAAATTGAAAATGCACAGCATTTGATGTAACCTATTCAATTGCTAGCTTAGTGTCTTTGAAACATCTTGTAAAGTCTGGTGCACATGTGTGAGGTATGGATTACTTTTTCTACAACTTCTGAAAGTTTAACTGGTATTGAGAGATTTTCTTAGTGTTTTGAATGTGTAGGGGATATCTCTCTGTAAGTATTGTGGGTAACTTGTAAACAGTTCCATGGCTACTCGCCTGGCAGACTCTGGTCCAGTTCTGGACAAGAAGTACCTTTTTTTTTTTTTGGCTTGTCAAAGCTTGAAACACACCATGTTTTCCCACAGTCCTTACAGTTCCCCTCGTCCGTTGGGGGTCAGCTGCGGTATGCCACTGCAATTTCCACTGTGAAGGTGGCATGCAGAGCCCACTGTATCAGCACAGCTGGCACAGTCTCTTGCTGGGTAAGTATCAGCAAAAATTATGTGCTGATACTCAATAATATTGCCTAGTGTACTTCAACCTAGAGCTAGTCTATGCAACTTTTTAAGATTGTAAGGGTGATCGAGAGATTAACTTGTCTGCTTTAACGACAAGATGCCTGGGGGTTTTTGTTTGAAAGACTTCTGGCTCTAAAACAATTGCTTTATAGCCATCTTTTTCACTTCCAATTAAGAATACAATGTTTATGTACTGTGAGTAAAAGGTTTTAAATATAAAGTTTTGAGAGTGAGGATGCTGCTTGAGGAGAGGGAATATAAATCTCATGTTCTGCCTGTGTAAGAAAAATGAGAAAAGCAAATATTACTATGTTGAGATTGGTAGTATTTTTATTATATAATAATCTTGGAATAATTCAGCTTTTTCTGTTGGTCTTTAAGATACTAGTTTTTTCATGCTTTAATTTACGTATGGATGTTTGACCTATTTGTTTATTTTCATCTGTGCTTCCCCTGAGGGTGATAGAGGAGCGTGGTGTTTCAACACTAGATTGCCCCTTCCACCTTTAAAAATGCATCAGCATTTTGCATAATTGAAAGATAAAGTTAAGCAGATCTTAGTTTGGCTTCATGTAGACCAAATGGAAGTGTACTTATGTTGGAGAATATCAGCATTGTGACAAGCTTTGCTTGGGTAGCTTAAGTTGAAAAGTAGATTAGTTCTTTCTATATCTGGAGCTCATTTGTAGATACTTGATACTAAATAATCACTATAGATAAGAACAAAGAGTGATGATTAAGTGGATTCTGAAGACAGCATGAATATCTCTGCTGCTGTGGCTGTTCTGGGGGTTGTAATACCATGAGAAGGTACCATGCCTTTGGAGCTTCTTGTGTTTGATTGAATGTTGTTAAGATAACATAGTATATACTGTCCTCTCCACTTTATCCATTTCAGTAGATAAAGAACGGCCTTACTCTTCCATCCCATTTTTTGGCACGGCCAAGGGCCAAGAAGATGTTAGGGAACAACACTTGTGCGCAGCCTTTATTGTACACAACTTCATTGATTAAAGAAGGAGGAGGAACGTTTTGTGCTGTCCTTTGTTCTGTATCTATGCAATGATTAGACACAGTCTAGACCTTGAAGATTACTTGTGATAGTAAGGAGGACTTGTTTCCCTATAAAAGCAGAGCTACTGAAGGGAAGGTAAGTGATTCCGAAGTGTGCAACTTTTTTTTTCATAGTTTCTAAGTTTTTAAATATCCAATATTATACACCTTTGCATCTTCTATAAATAAAACTGCTTCTCAAACTTTTGTTTCAC